TTGTAAGTTGAGACTCCGCAGAGTATACTGCCCGCGATAAATAGGCACTGCTATGCGCACGCTGGAATTCACTCGCTTCTTAGCGTCGCCAGGGACCTGGCTGAACCGAATAGAAATTGGGAAGCTGGGCGAAAAATGACAGAAGAAGAAGGGTGAGGGGGGAATGCATAACACACGGAGAGAAGCATGTATGAGGAGCTTTATGTTGACAATGGGGTGTAGTGTAACAGACTTGGGAAAATTCGGGTGGTGTTGCAGTCTTTGACTTGTTTTGACCATTGTTGCCTTGTGTATGCCAGCGTACGATGCAATATTACCTGGCAAACTTTGCCCGCGTCTCGGAAATGGATAAACAGTCCGCTGCCGCATTTCCATTGAAACCACGAGCGGTTGCCCTCCAAGGGTCGAAAGAGTCAACAGAGATTGTGGGCGCCACACGAACAGATTTTGAAACGGATCAGTGGCTGACTGTTGTGCCTTGGCGCGCTGACCCTTTGCACACCTGGTCTGAGGACGACTGGGCTGCTACTTTATCGGACTGTCTGTGGGCGAACGATTGTCGCTTTGCGACCATGCTGGAATGGGGACGTGTTATCGTATTGCCCCGTGTTCAGTTGAGACCCTAGCAAGTATATTGCCCACAGGAAATAGGCCCCGCCATGCGCACACTGGATTTCACGCACGTCTCGGCGTCGCCAAGGACCTGGCTGAAACTTTTCCGGCGTCTGTCGGCGTTCTATCCTTGTTTGTGCACGCCACGCACAACACTCTGCTGAATGGATCGCCATCCAACGTGAGGCGGACACAGCAGTACGAGACCGCGCAAGACAATGTTTGCAGACCGGGCATGGGGTATTCTGACAAGAAATCACACAGGCTGCTGCCGTGATTGCAACCTACACCACGAGGTATCTGTCCGAAGATGGTGAGAGACTGATAACGCTGACAGTCCTAGATAACAGGATGCAAGTGGTGCCCCATGAAAGGAACCGCGATTACCGGCACTGGGAAGACATCGAAGCCCAGATATGTCGCATCAGAGATGCCATCGGAGAATGTTTGTTATGCGATTCGACGTTCGTCCGAATGCGATACATATCTTTTTTCTCGAAAGATGCGACGTGTGGTACGCCTCGTCGACTGGCGCTCGGCTCAGCTTTGTCGGCATTGTACGGCTTCAGCAGGAGGACTCCGCCGTGCTGTAACGTTGCCCACGTGAGTGTTGTTGTGCTCTCTCACGGTGCCGTTTTGTCCGTGCTTTCTGGCGTCTCTTGCCTAAATGGGGTGCAGAGTTGAAAAAGTTGTTGCAAGTTTCAGATGTTCTGTTGCGCTTCCGTTTCTCTTTTCTTCTTTTCTTTTCGTTTTCTGCTTCTTTCTTTTTCCGCCTCCTGGAAACATTAGGAGATGTCACAAGTGTCTAGTTGTTAATCATTTGTGCTGGAACCTACAATCTCTCCCGTTTAGTGTTTAGCAGTGGCCGAAGGGAAAAAAGTTCGTCGAGCAGATGGCCATATCGGCGGGGGGCAGTTGGCAGACAGGGGCCCCACCAGCGAGGACCACCTCGTAAGGCTAAATACTCCTGGGTAACCGATAGCGAAAAAGTATCGTGAGGGAAAGGTGAAAAGAACCCCCATAGGGGAGTGAAAGAGAACATGAAACCGTAGGCCTTCAAGCAGTGGGAGGAGAATTGTATCTTTGACTGCGTGCTTGTTGAAGAATGAGCCGGCGACTCATAGGCAATGGCTTGGTTAAGGGAAATTATCCACCGGAGCCATAGCGAAAGCAAGTCTTTTTAGGGCTAATGTCACTGTCTATGGGCCTGAACCCGGGTGATCTAACCATGGCCAGGATGAAGCTTGCGATCCGGGCGCTGGCAGCTCCGATCCTATAATCGACATGCGGTGAGCTAAGAGGGGAAAACAACATGGTAATGAAGAAAATGCTATTTGAATGGTGGGGCATTGCGCTGTCAGCCTTCGCGACGTCCGCTTGCTTTGCTATGCCGGCTCGCCATCGGGAGTTCAATTTCGAAATTCGAAGTTGCTATGGCGCACGCGCTGGAAATGACGAGGTGTGTGTGTGTGTGCGTGTATGTTTATTGGTTATGTGTGTGCATGGCAAATACCCGGCTCGGGTGACCGGGAAGAACCCCCCTTTTTCCCCGCAATGGAAAAAGCGCAAAAGCGGTGACTGTCAGAGAAACACAACGTGCCTCTGACTTCGAGGAAGCATAAACATCGCCAGCGGACTGAATCTTCGTCCTCATCAGAGCCTTTGCGACCGACGCCGATACAGCCTGTGCACCCACTTATGCTTATCCCGCAGGCGTCGCCGTAAACATATGTGCTTCCAAAGCGCCCCGTGGAGGCGCCGATTCAGCCGGCGCGCACTGCTCCGAAAACGCCTCGGCAGTGTCGACGCCCGTCGATGTGTAGACTTCTTGACTACGTCATATTTGCGCTCATATCTTTGTTGTTTATCGTGCAGTTTATTCTGCTTCACAAACTGCTCCGGCCAATTCCGCGCTATAGTTTGCCTTAGTCGGCGTGCCTCGGCGAAGGTACGTCCTCCGGCTTCGCTTCGGGCTTTTGTTTTGTTCGGTCTCTTCATTGTTGCTCTGGCCATTGTTGTTTGTGCTGCACTCCTTCAGTCCCCCTGGCGGTGGCTTATATCCGAAATTCTATCAGCGAAAAGCCATCCATCGACGATCGCTTCCAGCCGGTGTTTTTTCCTGCTCTGCGTCTAAAACAGTCATGCCCGTTTTGTTATCCGTTATAGGGGAATGCTTTTTTCCACCCACTTTCACATTTCGTTTACCCAATGTGTTTATCTGTTTCGCCGGGCGTGGAGAATGCAGCGTGTCAGTTGCTGTCTGTAGCGATTCTTATATACGGCCGTCTGCTATGTTTGATGCAGAACGTTCGCCGCAGGCGCGATGAGCAACACAGATCGCGATGTCAGACTACGTTGTTCGCCATTCGCAGTGCGCTTTCAGTGCATTGCATGGCCAGAATTGGTTGAATGATATCTACATTGATACATACACGAAACTTCTTATGCCCCTGTTCCCCGACGTGTTTTTCGCATCATGCTATACATACAGCTTCGTGATTGCTTGCCGGGATTACCGCTTCGCACATGATTTGCTTGTTCCGCGCGCCGCTGGCCAACCATTTTGCTACTTCGGGCGCTGGTTCTTTCCATTGCATCTGAACAACAGCCATTGGGCGCTGGCATGTTTTGTCGTCAAAGATTCGACCCTTTGCATTTACGATAGCTACGGTAACCAGCATCTGTCCGTTTTCCGTGATTTGCTTGCATGGCTACAAACAGAGACCACGATCCCGCAATCACCCCTCTCCATGCAGGTCGTTTATATAGATGGGCCGATCCAGTATAATCACAATGACTGCGGCGTGTTCATGCTCGTGATGCTGCGTTTTTTGCTGGCTTCGCCAACATCGTCGCATGCTGACGCTTTTTCATACTTGGATATTCCGACGTACAGACGTCATCTCCATGATGAGCTTTTCACATCGTCCATCGCGTCTTTTCCGCTGCTGCCAGTTCAGCCTCCACACGGCGCTGCGTACGCATGAGGCTACCGATGTCCGTCGCAGGGTGCGTTCGCTTCTCCGCCGAGCCCCTCCTTGCTCGCCCCCCCCCCCTCTTCACTTCCCCCCTTCCCCCCCTCCCCCCCCTTCCCCAGCCCCTCTCCGTTCCCGTTGCCGATTATCCGGCCATCTGTTATAGGAAGAAGCGGTTTGCTGTGTGACATTTAAGTATGCCTGCGTTTGCGTTCGGTTCATTACAACATGTATTCACATTTTCCCTCCCGCGCCTAATGATGTTTATAATTGTGCATGGCTGTTTCTTTGTGATTTTGCTCGCAGGTGCGGTCGACGCTTGTCTACAGGTAATGTAGCGGCGGGGCGTGTTCAGTCTACTTATCCTGGTATTTTGACTCCGAAGAAAGATATACGTATACATGCAAACGCACATATTCTCCTTCCTCATGTGTTTGTCTGGTCTCGTCTGATAGGCATACATACATATACTCAGACATAAACACAGATCGTGGTCTCTCAGCTTGTTGACACGTCTTGGAAAATGTTTGGCAAACAAAGAAACGCACTCAAAAACCCGAAAAAAAACTTCCCCGGGCTCGTTCCTTCACTCTCCTTGACCCTCCTCTCAAACCAGCTCAGGACCCTGAAGCAGGCAGCGACGTATTTGCGGCCCCTTTTGTCTTTTCCTTCCACGATTGTAAACCCGCGATTCATTCTTTTGCCTTTTTTGCTTCCTGGCTTTCTCCCTCTAGTGTTTTCCTTCTCCCTCTACTTCTCTCTTCGCAACTCTCACATCTTTCCGTCGCTTTGCTATTGGCTCTACGTAAACATGCTACCGCTTTTTGCCCGCCCGCACCATGCGGTGGACCGCTTATTCCATCTCATTCGTACCACACTGTGCGGTAGGGGAAATACGTAGCGGACGCACGCGGAGACTGCAGGGCAGCGAGAAGAGCGTCTATGCAAAAAACGGGTCGCGACACGGACACGGAAATTAAACGAAACTGAGACCGTTCGCCGCGAGCGCCTGCAGCGAGACGCTGCATGCGCGGGAAAGAAAACGCAATACGCAACGCCCTCTCACAGGTACGGGCACGACGTTGCTTGCGCCCCCCGTTTCTTGTTTCGGCTCTCAGGTGAGCCCCGCGACACTGCCTTCGCTTGTGAAGCCTATCAGACTCAAACAGTTGGCCCGCATGAAATGCCCCCCCTCTGCGGCACTGCCTTTGTGAAGCTTGTCAGGCTCAAACAATTGGCCCGCATGAAACGGCCCCCCCCTGCCCCCGCCGGCACGCATCTCTCTGCAGGCGGTTTCCCCACTCTGCATACGCGACCTCTCCTGTGGCGTCTCGAACCCCGAGCCATCAACCCCGACAATCGTCACTGGCCGTTTTGCGGAAGCTGTGATATATTCATGTTTACAGCGACTAGCCCAGGATCGAGAAGCACGTTATTCCTTGCGTCCGCCGTTCCCCTCTGTCATCTCGCCAGCGTTGAAAAACACGATCGTCGGCCGTCTGGTTGACAAACTCAGTCCCGTTAAGCTTGAGGAGTTCGTATGCTGTGTGTGTGACGAACTGGTGTTATGCACTGAAGTCAATATCCATCCGTCTTCTGAGACAGACATCATCGACCGTATGCGTGCAGTTTTATATAATCCTGATTCATCGTTATATCCAGATCTTGTGCAGCATTATAGCTGCGAAGATTTGTCTCCGGTTTTCTTGGGCATCATGTTGTCGCGAAATGGCATTGTGCAGCTCGCCGACGGCAGTGTCCATTTCAACATATGCGACGCCTGCGAGCAACCGCTTTTTTGTTCACGCTGCCGGCCTCGCCTCCCGAAATTCGCAATCGCCAATCATTTTTTTGTCGGCGCGCTGCCTCCCGCTTTGCAGAGCGCGACCTGGGCAGAGCTTCTTATGACAAGCCTGACAAATATCCTCGCCCAGACGAGAGTGATGCGCGGTGGGTGGCATCGTTCGATACTTTCCCATCTGCTCGTTTTCGACTTGGTGCCCGGGCCGACAGCCACTTTGCTTCCCAGGTCGATAACAAAAGATACGTTCTATCGCATTATCTTGGCAGGACCGTTTACAGATGGTCAGGTGGCACGTATTAAGAAGCTACATCGCGTCAGACATTCGATGGTGGAAAACCTGCTCAACTTTTACACGACGTTTAATGTCCTTTACTCTGATGTAAAACATGATGACGAAGTTCTTGACAGCATTCCGCGCGATGATCCCGCGTTTGTGCCGACGCTTGTCATCCGAGACCTGTCGAATGATCACGCCGATGCAAAGTTGTTGGGCCATGAACAGGATGGTCTTAACGCCCCTCCGGGCACAACCACCAAGACAACTTACATTGAAAAGTCTGTGATTTTTTCGCACGCCACTGCGCCACTGGATCCGATTGTCGAACAGCGTGTGGTCGAACTCTTGAAGGCTGGACGAGCCAACGACCCGGTTTTCATGCTCCACACTTCGTCAAAATTCGCCAACCTTTTTAAGCCGACGCTAGAAGCCAAAATGTTCCCGCATCTGTTCCCATATGGACGCGGGCATCCCGGCGAAGAAGGACGAAGAGTCACCACTTTGCGCCAGCTCTGCGCGAGGCATTATTGTCTGCTGAGCTCCAGGCGCTTTGAGCAGGATCTGTATTATTGCATGGCCGCCTTCGACCATCTTCCGCTAAATCGTGGATACATGTTCTCGCACCTCACGTGCAGAATGCAACCCCATTTGCATCAATATATCGCCGGAGTCACGACCGAAATGCTGAGCAGAGGTTTGGAAAACACCCGTCGACGAACAGCCGGCTTAAAAACGCCCGATACGGATCCGGCGGTCACAGATCTGCTTCGTCATGTTGAATGCGCTTCAGCGTATGTTTGGGGCAGCAACGCAGAGCGACGTGCACGCCGTCAAGAAGCATTCGCCACCTGCGACCGTTTCGGTCAGCCGACGATTTTCGATACGTTGACCCCGAACACTGACACCTCGTTCGCGCTTGCATCGTACGTTGGTCTTCTCGACGTGGAAGCATTCTGCGCGGTGTTGATCGATAACCCTTACGTCGAGACAGAAGATCTCAAGCGTTTATCCATGGCCGACAATATTGCTTCGGCGCGGCTTTTTGATCGGCTGATGTCCATATTTTTTAACAAAGTGTTGGGATTCGACCGCACGACTCAGCAAAGTGTACCCGGGGGCGGACTCTTCGGGCCCGTGCGGGCATATTTTGGAACGGTGGAAACGCAGGGCCGCGGCACATTGCATTTGCACTGCCTCGTCTGGCTTGAAAACACGCCGCCCACAACTCGTGATTTCGATAATTTGCTGGAAGCAGATGCGTCGCTCGCTGATCGCGTTACGGAATACGTGGACAACATTGTTTTTGCATCTGCATCCCAAGATGTTTCTCGGCTGCCTTGTGCACACTGCCATGCACCGGCGCCGACTTACAAAATGCATACGCTCCCGCAGTCAGCCCGGTGCTCGCCATTCCGGAAAGGCAAACCACAGTTATTGGTCGAACCGCCGAGCGCCGAATGTGCACACTGTCATGCTTTAATTAGTTCGCACCAGATGCAGCGCCAGAGCATCCTGGAAGCTACTCCATCTCCCGCCTATGACGACATTCGTTGGCAGAACGCTGCTCCAGCTTCGTACCCTAAACTCACAGACGATCCGTTCCACACACACGCAACAAGCAACAGAATGCTTGCGCTGCCACTGAGCTTGCTTTCTTTTTGGTCGGCACTGCCATTGATTCTTTTCCTTGTCCAAACACACCACTGGGCTCACACTGGGTCGTGTTTCAAGAATACCCGTATGACCAAAAACGCAGAAGTCTGTCACTATCTGTTCCCTCGGACGCATTGCGAACGGACAGTTTTACACGATTCCGGAGTGGAACTCCGGCGGGGCCTCGGCGCCGAATATATTAACGCTTACAATGATGTTATGCTCGCTGGATTTAAATGCAACCACGACATACAACCTCTATTCGGTGGCGCAGAGGCGACAGACCGTATCTGCTATTGTTGCAGATATGCTACCAAAGACCAACATAAAATTGACTGCAAAGTCGCACTGCGCTTGGCTGTGTTCGATGCACGCTGTGAGCGAGAAAAGTTGGCAGAGGAGCGTACAGAAATGTCAGCGGAAACGAAAACACGTCGCCGCCTTGCTTCTCAACTTTTCAGTATAACGAACAAACAAGAAACCGCTGGCCCATTATGTGCACTATATCTGCTACGGCAGTCGTGCGTGTATCTTAGCCACGGTTTCAAAACACTCCCTCTTTTTCACATGCTGAAACAGCTGCAAAATGATCCCGGCACTTTGTGTTCGCTGGAGAGAGCGCCTGCGGGCTTTGCTGTGAAACGACCTTTGGATGATTACGTTTTCCGACCATTGGCATTGACGCATCTGTCTCTTTACGAATTCACGATGCATTTTTACACTTGTACGAAATCAGCTGCCTCCAAAACCGATGGCAGCTTCCTTCGAAACCATCCGTTGTATAAGCGCAAAGCATTGGCACGCAAGAGACTTCCCGCAATCCCTGTCGTGCCTTATTCTACACGCGTTCCTGATCTCAGAATATGCAACGACGATGCAGCCAAAACTTTGCACGCGCAACTGTCACTTTTGCTATTCAAACCCTTTCGGATTCTGACGGATTTAGTTACGCCCAGCAACACATGGCATGATGCTTTCCTTTCATTCTACGAACAGATGCCTGCATTTCTATGCGCCATTTACCTACAAATGCAAGACTACCATGTCGCATGAGAACGTGCAGCAGAAATGCGTAATCAAAGAGCGTCCGATCAAACTGCAAGCGTTCTCTATGCAGCCTCCTCGGGTGGGATGCCTAATAGCTCATCGAACGCATCTATACCAATGTGTCCTCCTTCTGACACTGACTCACAAAATAGCGTGGAGCCGGGTCGCGTGGACAATGCCATAATCGTGTCAATGATAGCTGATGGCTATGCGTCAGGTTTGTCGTCTGAATTGATGACATCCTGCGCAACAATCGCACTGGATATGTGTAAGAGCTTCGCCCCAGGCGACTTATCATCGACCAACTGTTTCCTGAGACAAACCATTGGCGATCTTAACACTATCCACGCTTGGGCAAAAGCAGCGCCGCCTCTGGTAGAAGATGTCGGTGCTGTCCCCGACGCCTGGCATTAGCTGCCTCGGCCCACTCGTCTCCGCCTGATCACAAACGCGCTTCAGCCTTGGAATAAGGAGTTCGCTAACAATCCCACCACAAAGCCCTCTTCACCGCCCGACTCCTTGTTCCCTACAATCTCTGATGTCTCGGTGCAGTTCTCGCTCAATCGCAAACAACACCTTGCTTTCTCTCTTTTGGCTGATTCCCTTCTCAGGACCTGACTCTCCAAAACGACAGCTGAAGACATACCTACGCCGATGCCGCTGGCAGCTATGGCCGGTGTAATTGAAAAAAAGCAGCTCCTCATGTTCCTCACCGGAGAGGGTGGCACCGACAAATCCCACGTAATCGCTGCCATCGATGCCTTTGCTAAAAGATGGCAGCATCCACACAGCGTTGTCAAAACTGCAATGACTGGCAAAGCTGCAGTTTCCATCGCCGGGGTGACATTCCATAGCTGGTTCGTGATGCACAACCTCAAAGCTGATTACTGTTTCGAACGTCGCCAGGCGCAGCTGAAAGGCATACCCGGCTTCACGCCAGAACTAGATTTACTCATCATCGATGAGTTCAACATGACGGACAAAGATGCATTCCTTCGACTTGACCAAGCTCTGCGCGCAGCCAGAAAGCTGGATATCCCCTTCGGTCGTGTGCATATCTTGCCTACGGGAGACTTCTTCCAGCTTCCCCCTGTTAACAACACGCCGGTGTATTCTGATCCTTCATTGGATAAGGCAGACACGACCGCCGACCACGAAGCATTCAAGCTTTGGCGTCTCTTCGACACGGTTGTTGTTCTAACCGAGACCGTTCGGTTTAGATCAGACCCCGAATGGGGCCGCCACTGTAAAAACGCCAGGCGGGGCATATGGGAAAACGATTTTATAGATATCATCAACAGTAGACTTTTGGAAAACATCAACCCCGACCTGCGCCGGAATTTTGTCAATCCAAAAGGTGGCCATTTCCCTGTTTTCGTTGTCCCGGATAACGACAATCGTACACAGCTACTGCATTCGTTTACGCGCACGTTGTGTGCACTGCTGCCTTGTGATCATCAACCTGTTCGCATCGTGGCAGACTTCGGCGCAAAATTCAAAAATAGAAAACCGCATGATATACAATTCATAATGTCATTGCCGGACAACAAACTCAGACGATTCGCTGCGTTCCTTGACCGTCTACCCGGGATGTCGGTTTTATTCACCCAGAACGTAGATCCCGCTCGAGGCATCGCAAATAGAACCTACGGTGTTCTGTACTCTTTATGGTTCCCTGAACATACGACGTTTGCACTGTTCCATGACACGAATGCAAACATTCGCGTGCTGCTTCCTAGCTCCCCGCCGGACCTCGCTCTTGTGCGCGTCCCCCATCGTTCCGCATTCGAACAGCTCCCTGCTGCGCTTTCTGTCGCCCTGCCTTCGGATGTTTACCCGACGTTCAGACAACAGCCATACGGCTTTGCGAAGGTCGACCTCCCGACCGGTGCAGGAATGCCCCAGAGAACATGCCACGTGCGACCTCTCCAATTTCCATTTGTGTCTGATGTCGCTTCGAACGTCTACAGGATCCAAGGAGAGACATTGACATCTCTCGTTGTCGTCGAGTGGAAAGCGCGCCCCAATGCTGGCCACAAACGAAAACACAACGTCCCGCAACAGGGTTAAATCATTGTCTCCCGTGTTGTCAACCGTTCTGCTTTGGTAATTTTAAAGCCATTCACAAAGGACCTCGCAACCTTTTTCCAGCCAAATCCATCTGTTGTCCGTGAGCAATTGCGCCTTGACAAACTTTCGGATCTTACCCTATCCCCTGCTCTGGCCTTTTGCTCTACCTCCATTTCGAGGCCGCAGATCGTCGCTCGTCCACTTGAAGCCTTCGATCGGACCCCCGAACGGCGCGTTTGCAGACTGGACAACCCCAGCAGGTAAATGATCACGCACACCGACCCCTCCTGCTGTTTCGACGACTGTTCTGCCATCACAGCTGAACCCACGGTCTTCGCCATTCTCTATCTGTCCATCTGCCCATGAACAACCGCAGCCTAAAAAACGTTCGTGCCTTCTCCCTTCCTATCTGGGGCCTCGGATCGCCATTTCTTCAAGTGAAACCTCTGATTCCTCTCTCACTGATGACAGGCTCCCGAACGATGCCCTCGTCGAGCATACAACCTCGGTGGCCGAGCGGCCGCACGCGCCGATGCACGCAGGCGACGTTGCTGCTTCAACAAACATTCCATCATTGCAGCTCGACCCGCAACCTTTGCTATTCTCTGTTTGTTCATCTGTTCCCGTTGTGTCTTGGACGCCGCCTCACGGCAAGTCGCAATTTACGGCGGACTGTGTATATTGTAGTCTCCATGGAACAGCGTGGCTTAGTGACATTCCTATTGGGGACTATATGGACTTGCTGATGGACACTTTTCCATCGGTGCTCGCCGCGAACAGTTTTACATACGTCCACGACGTCGCATGCGGTGACTTCTCGTTCGCCGACCAAAACATTGACACTCGGTGCTATCCAAGACTCGCGTCTACGTTTGCACATTTTTTCCTCCCTCTACATATGCATGGTAATCATTGGGCACTTGGGTACATTGATATAAACAACCAACAATTATTCTTCGATGATAACCTTGGCCACTCCAACGCTGTGTTTTCTCGAAACATGCGCCAATGGTTGTGTCGTCGTTCTGATGCTTTCAATGCCCTTGCCACCATACAATGCTTCAACATTCGAGGCCCTGCTCAAACAAACTCGTATGATTGTGGTGTTTTTATGCTGGTTATGATTCGACATTTGTTGATCGGGCCTCCCCACCTGCCTATAAACAATTTCGGCCAACAAGACATACGCTTTTATCGATCGTTCATTCACGACGAACTTATAACCAAAGTCCTGAAATCCATAACTCCGCACCCTCATTTAAGTTTTCCCGTTCTTCCACCCTACTGCTGCGCTCGGCGGAGAACATGATTTCCGCTAAGCCATTTCTGGTTTTCTTGGCACCTGTTCAGCGTCTGTTTTTCGACGCTCACACTACGTACGTGATTTTGTGTCCAGATTATCGCTTCCTCCCAAAACGTTGGAGATAGTGCGCCTGCAGCGCTCCCGCCACTTAAACGCGATCGGCCTTGCCTGCGTGAGCGACTACGCATTCAAAATGAAACCAGGGAGCAGAAACGAGTCAAACGCAACGAAATCATCCACACGAGCACCCTGCAAATGGAAGAGTATATAAGAGAAGAGGCCGCGCGAAGAGAAGAGGCTACACAAAATGGTAAGCCGAAGGTGCCAGCAGAGATCATCGAAAAAGGATACTTTGTGCACCATCTTTGGAGGTGGGCGGGTGAGACGTGCGTGCTCGATATCACGCTCGCAGACATGGACCAGGAAGATGCGGTGCAAGCTGCGCATTGGACTCTGTCAAACACATATGGCGAAACACAGAATGACATCTTGCCGCTTCTGCGTCGAGGGACTGTCTACGACTTTAACGAAAGATGCGCATTGCCAGAGGTTGGGACTATTCTCACGTTCGGTCACACGACAGGGCACAAGTATTTCGGCAAACAGTTCATACCGTGTTTCAACACGAACATGCGCACTATGCCCCCGCAACCCCTGATTCCTGCGGAGGCAGACAAGCCTAGTGCAGCGCCGACTTTTGCCGAAACGAATGCCCCCCGGGGCCCTCCGAACACGGGGCGCTCAAGCAAACCACATGGATCCGACAACCTGTGACAAGCTCGAATAAGGTGAGACGCAGACACGTTCACTCGCATAGTTCTCACGCTTGTTACTGTTTACTGCCATGCAAACCATTACGACCACCGCGCCCGCGGGGTGCATGCCACTGACCCGCTGGACACAGCGCCCTGGCCCCCCTCCCCCACGCCGCGGGCAGAATTGTACTGCCTAATGCTGGTTTCGGTGGCCGGCTGCTGAAACGAATGCTCTGCCACGCTCCCTGCATTCTCCCGAGTTCGGACCCGGGCTGGGCGCCCTCGTCACCCTCCTCTTTTCTCATCCTCTACCATTATTCTTAGCTTTGTTGTCATTGCTGTGCCTGGACCGAAAGGTGCCCCGAACACAGCTTTCTTATGGTCGCTTTTTCGTCTCTCTTATTCATTTTGCTCCTTTTGGAAATTTCAACTCGGCTTTCTTGCTTTGGGAAACTCGACCGTTTCCCCGGCTCAGATCTGCCATGGAATGGACAACTCGTCATCTGTTCTTTGTTTTTTTTTTGAGATTTCATTACTTTCGTTGTTCGTATTTCATAACAGCCGATCTGCTGTGTGAAGATTGGAAATTGTCTGCAATATAGCTACGCCGGCCATGTGTCCAATTTGGCGGGCGGAGGAGAGCCTATTTTGACGTGCGTTTCCTGACAATAAATGCTCTATTCTACTTGTCATTGTGTTGTTGCAGACACCCCGATGGAAAACATCCCAATACTGCAGGCGCTTCAACAGCAACCTCCTGTGCATCATCATGTCACGCATACTACTCTGTCAGAACTCGAGGACTACATTCGCTACCAATCTGTTCGCTATACCGGTGTTGTTCAGGAATGCGGTCTACTGGTGCACCATGCTGTTCGTTGTCGCCGTCCTAAACGTATTATACATGTATATCTCCTGGGTGTCGATGAACAGCAAGCTGTTGGCCGCGTACATGGGGCATTCGCGACTGGCACATGCCTCGTGCAGCATGCCATAATGTCCTACGTCCATAGGGTCGTGGTCTATGGCTGCAGGTCGCGGGACACGATGCCTACCATTGGTTCTTGCATCACGTTTCGTCGTACGACGGGCCACTGTTATACATGCAATCCAACGATGTCAACCTTCAATACACATGTTCAGCACATGGCTGTTACACCTCCAGTCGTTTGCGCAGCGGCGCCGCTGAATGATCGACCTCCAAGTCCTCGTCAGATCTATGCTCCTGCAGTCCACGGTTTCGACCGCCGCTTGCTTCGCCGCATGTCGTCCACCTTTCAAGAAACCGCTGCTGGTCTTCAGGCTCTTGAGAGATCTATGCCTCCATCACATGTTGGCCTACAACCTGGCAATGCTGACCGCTCACCCATGGTCGGCGGCGGGTGATGGCGCACGTATGTCCTTGTGATACCCAGCCAGCGGAAGCTGCATGCTGCTCGCATCTCTGTGAACGGCTTTCTGTCTTAGCATGTGATTTGCCCTTGTTGCTTTCATTTCCCTGTTTCGCTGCGTTCCCGGAGCAGCATACACAAAACGTTTTGTTTAGCGCTTGCACTTTCTGTATGACGAAACTACTGTAGATTGCTTGTTTGTTTTCATTTTGTCTTTTGCGCTTAGACATTCGCGCGGGTTTTCGGACGTTCATCCGTGGCGCGGCATAATTGAGTTTTCGAACAGACTCTTCGTTCCGGTTGTCGTTTCTCCATGCACGATGGTTGTGCCTTTCAACTGTGCCGCAAGTGCCCCCGGCAGCCCTGGGTTCTTTTAGACTCGTTCATGTAAAATAGCTACACTTTCTGTTCTTCCGTGTACTGCACTTTTTTTGCCGCGCTCTTGCGCCGCTGCATGCTGTGCTACCTCGTCTACTGCAGAGTCATCTTAGGCCACATCATCTGTTGCCAATCCGTTTGCCACCAAGCCATTTGCTACCAATCCGTTTGCTGCTACGTCATCATCTGCTGCCCCATCAGCTGCTGTCATGGCATCTACTGCCAAGAAGGTGTTTGTTGCCAAATCGTTCACAACTGCCACATCTTCTACTGCTTTTCCAAATGCAGGGGCGGCTCCTTCTTCCAACAAACGGAAGGATGTTAGTGATGGACAGTCTGAGTCAATGAAGAAGACAACAGCGACCTCGATGAATGCAAAGTCGGGAAAGAAGAAGTCTGGGACGGAAATCAGGGGGCGGGCAATGGCTCTTGCACGTCCGTATTTCGTCTCGTCTGAAGGTTACTATCTATGGAAGAAGATGATGAAGGAGGAGAGAGGTGTTGTGATGGCGCGTGTACAATGTGCAGAAGACGCCGGCCCACGACGATCGTGACGACGCCGGCGCATCAAGAAAGAAGCCAGAGAGCAACACCAGCATGCCAAATGCACTCTCGTCGCTAGTGCTAAATACAGCCATTGCGCTTGCTTGTTTTCGCTTTCCCTTGTGCTGTTCCGGGTTGGCATACACACCGTCTGCAGTTTACTGTGGCCTAAACTCGCAACAGAATGATCATGGACGCAATGGAATGTTCAGTCAGACTTTTCGTTCCGCTTGTCGTTTTCCCATGTACAATAGCTATGCTTTTCTGTTGCGCCATGTGTTTTGCTGTTTTTGCCTCGGTCTTGCGCCGTTGTAGACCGCATCCTTGTTGGATGATCACCGGCCCGCGTTCTTTTAGACGCATCTGTGTAAAAAATCTACACTTTTCTACCGTACTGTATGATTTACTTTTTTTGCCGCGGTCTTGCGCCGGTGTACAAACCCTGTCCACGTGAGAAAATTGATACCGAGTGCAGCTAGCGTTGTTGTTTGTTTTTGCTTTTCCTTTTGTTGTTCCAGCCCGTTCCAGGGTTTGCATACACACTGTCTACAATTCGCCGCGATCCGGGCCTGCAGTGGAGTGACCATAGGCACAATGGAGCTTTGAGACGGGCTCCTTGGTTCAGCCGTCGTTTTTTTAGCAGTTTCGCCGCTTGCTTCGCCGCATGCCGTCCGCCTTTTAAGAAATCGCTGCTGGTGTTCAGGCTCTTGA